CATACCTGAGCATTTTGTATGCCGAACCCTCACGGAACGCTAAAAGATGGCCACAGGACAATTCTTTTCCGGTGAAAGCAACGAAACAAGCTGCCTGGAGGAAAGAAAGCCCATGTTTTTGTTACCTTAGAGATCTAACTACGCTACATAGCCTTCATCGTGTTGCCGTTCGTGTTCCATCTTTATTCTGATAGTAGATAAGTGCCTTTACATAGTAATCTATGATCTCAGGCTTAGAAACAAGTTGTTTTTATTTATTTCCGTTTGGAACTTTCTCTGAATCTATTTGATGTAGCATGCTTGACTCTCTGCAAGTGTATCTAATCCTGTGTTGTGCTGAAAATCCATTGTTTTTCCAATTGCGTATGCATTAAAATAACAGAAATTTTGTAAAATAGTTTTTTGCAATGTAGTATTTCGAAAACAGTGAGATAATGGAAAGATATGTTACAATGCTCTAAAATCTTCTTTTCTTAAAATCTCCGAAAGGTAGATTTCCATGCTGTTGGAGATAAATTCTCGAACGGAGGACCAAAGAACTCTAGGTCAGCAGTTTTGTTATTTTCCGACGACAAAGAGCTCAGAGCTAAATGCAGAAATAATCATATAGAGACAAACTGAAATCAAGAGAAACCTACGGAATGGTATGACATGTGTGGAATGATTCTTTGTAGATGTTCTTGAGTGTGGAGCACGAGGAGGTTCAGCCGGTTCTTGCTGTTCTTCTATGAATGTGCCTAGTGCATTGCTGAAGTTCTCATTTGAAAAGCATGGTTGCATCTAAACTTTATTGGGGCTGAATTCCTCATAATAGTTATTTCCTCAAATGTCTCACTTGTACTCGCTCCAGGCAATCTGTACAAAGTCGCTCACGCCTGCGTATGCTAGTCTTTTGGTCACAGCTTGTCCACTCAGTCCACTCCGACTCCACAGAACCTACACCATTTGAAAGGCCTGGACAATCGATATGCTCCAAGAAATCCTTCTCTTACAAAACATACCCCAATTTTTCTCGTTTTCAACTACTCGGCTGTCGACAGACATCAAGCTTTGCCTTTCCGAATTGGCAGAATTCAAATGACCTCAACATTTAATTTATAAGTCATTATCGAATCACCCTAAATCTTGCAATTTACTAGAAAAGGTAAAATATTATAATGGACACCTCCTAATTTCTTCGCACATTCAGGAATCTGCACGTAGTCCACCTTCTCATCCAG